GAAAAAATTTTTAATTTGTGTGCTTAACGTTCTTGTACATAGGTGGCATATTTATATTGACTTTCACATAAACAAAAATGAATAAAGACCTAACATTTGGTGACGCTTTTCTAAGTGGCAGGTTCCTAGAATACTAGCACTTCCAAGGCTGAGACAGGAGGTTCATGAGTTTGTGGGAGTCCGGGGTATGTAGTAAGTTAGAGGACTCCCTGGCCACCACAGTAAGACCTTGTCTTAAAATAAAAGAAAAAGAAAGAGGATCCAAAGTGCTAACTAAGTTGCTTCTGACTGCCACTAATAATTTTTACATATGGATGGCTTTCCGTCTAATTTGTCTGTCTCTGTGTCTCTCTCCTCTGTCTCTTATCTTTGTCTCTGTTTATGTCTCTTTCTCTGGCCCTCTGTCTCTCTTTATCTCTCTGTGTCTGTCTGTCTTTGTCTCTCTGTCTTTGTCTGTTTCTGTTTCTGTCCCTGTCTCTCTTTCTCTCTGTGTCTCTGTTTCTCTCTTTCTCTGTATCTGTTTCTCTGTCTCTCTGTGTCTCTATCTCTTTGTCTTTCTATGTCTCTGTCTCTCTCTGTCTTTCTGTCTCTGTCTCCCCTTCTCCCTTGCTCCCTCTTTTTCTCCCTCCAGGATCTCACTATGTAATTCAGGCTGAATTTGAACCCACTGTGTAGCCCAGCCTGGTGTTGAACTCAGGTGCCTGCCTCAGCCTTCTGAGTGCTAGAATTACAAGTGTGCCCGGCTCTACTTACTTTCTAAAATACTGGATTAGCCACATACTTTTTGGTCCCCTAGTTCCATTTATCCTAGTAAGTTTGGACTAGGCATTTAGAGTTTCTTCTTTCTTCCTGGTCAGTACCAGAGAAGTTAAGACTCAACTAAATCTCTTTAATTTACCTTTTAGTATTTTTGAGTGAAACAGATTTGTACTGTGTTCTTTTATGCATCTATTCATTTGGTTCTTACTAAGTTAGAAAAGCATATTTAAAGTAGATATATTCAGTCTCTGACCAAAATAATAGAATGGAATCAGTGATCAAATGTTTTTTGTTGTAGCATTTCAGTAAAGAGAACTAAACAAACTGATTTGAAATAGAATGGTTGCATTGAGTTCAGACACACCAATATTTGAGAATGTGATATGGTGATAGAATTTTGTATTGCAGGTTCTTCACAACCTAAACAATTGTTCAAAGGCTTTTCCTTTGTTTAACCCAGAAGTATTTATCTTAGAATAATAATCACTTCATGCTGTCCAGTATTTTTTCTAGTTGACCCATTCTCCAGACCTTTAAAAACTTTTTAAGTGGATGTAAATTCCATTTTAATTAGACCAGAGCAATCTAATACTGCAACTAGTCAGGAAAGGAAGAAACATGCTGGATCCTAATACAACCTGAATCAGCCATAGCCAGATAATTCCCCTGATCTTTGTAACAACCCCCTTCCCCACCTCCACAATTAAATGACCCTGTTGTTCTGGAGTTTCAACAAGACATTTAAGGTTCATTTAAAAAAAATGATCATCCTTTATAGGATTCTTGGCTCTTATATTCCCTTTCTTTCTTCCTCTTGCCACACAGCTGTCACTGGTACAGGAGGAAGATTGGGGGGAGGGGAGGTGGAGGAAGTCCTGTTCAAATCGTGTCACGTAGCACTAATTCATCTGCTCTCATTAGAGGGAGCGAGGGACAGCAGTGATGGCCAAGAGCTGCACTCCACACATGACACGCGAACAGTTTGGGGAATAGAAAATTGCTTTCTCAGGAAGCCCAGCCAATTAAGGACTTGACCATATTGAATGTCAAGTGTTAATTTAGGTTTTTCTTCATTTTCCCAGTAGTAATGCGGGTCCTGTGATGAGCAAATACATGTCAAGTAAAAGTTGATTGCTTGAAGGACCTGGGTATTATATGTCACTGACAAGTCACAAATGTACTGAAGTCTTTTAACCCCTTAGGTGAGTGTGGTGGGGAGGGGGAGGAGAGAAGGGATTAATGGTACCATAATGATAAGAATAGATAGTGTGTGTAGAGGTAGCTTGTATGGGACAGACAGGAATGGTAATTCATGCAAAAAACCTGGGGGTAGCATAAATCCTACTCTGAGGGCATAAACAGAGGCCTTGGAAAGCATATGTATATATTTTTTCTATTGCAGACACACTGGCCAGAATGTATATTTTTTCCTAAGATTTTCATGAAAGAGAAAAACTATTGTATTTAAACTAGGAAATACTTCATTAATTAACTTCTTTGAAAGAAATAAAACATTCATTATAGAAGCAGATTGGGGTATTTTGACCCTTTCAATCAGTGTAGCGGTAGCATTTCTGGGTACTGTAATTTTAATTTCTAATCAATATTCATTTGAAAAATTGACCGTGTGTGATCCAGTATCATAGGAAAGATGCAAAGCATAAAACTGAAAGAACGTTTGCTTTGTGTCCCCAGTGTGTCTATAAGATTGCTATGTAGCCACTAGAAGCTAGTAGAAGGTCCATCATTGTCTTTCATTTCTTTTTGTCTCTAGTTTAAGGAAAGAGATTCTAGTTTCAATGAATGAGGTAACTTTGCCTTTTTTTTTTTAATCCCAACTAAATGTTGAATGTTACCCATCAGGTGAAGCATCTCATTTCCATTCATCAGCATTCATTTACATTTGAATATCTTAAAAAAATGAGAGAGTGTCTGTTTCTTGCAATTGTACAAGTAGCAAATAAAAATACATCTAGATCTTAAAATAACTGCCCATAGTCTAAGCAATCTTAATGTGAAACTGACAGACTGGTTAGGTTTTTCTTTTCTTGTAGAGCCACTTTTTCCTGTCAAATCTTCTTTCCCCAAGTAATACAGAATGAACCCAGGGTGTACTGAGTTACATCTCTAGTTCCCTTTTAAATTTTAGTTTGAGGCCGGGTTTGAATAGATTGTTTATGCTGGCCTTAAATATGTACTTCCTACCTCATTCTCTGAGTTGCTGGGATTGCAGGCATGAAGTACCATGCCTGGCTCCCTTTCACATCTTTGAAGGTACAATTTTAAACACTTTGTTGAAACTTGATTGCCTTTGTATGTTCACAGTGCTTATACCTTGACAATTCAACTCTGGTAATACATTAATTTTGGCAGCAAAATTACCTGTCTCTGTTACCAAATTTACATTAAGGCATAATTAGGAAATAATTTCAATAATTTTATTTCATAAAATAAGGATTTCTTAAATAGTGTTTCTAATTATACTCCTAAATGCTTGATGGAATATCATCAAGTGTTTCTCTTTCCTGATCAAAATCAACCAAACACAATGATTTTAGCTCTCTTTTTCCTTCTATTTTGATACTTGCTTGTCTGTGGAACTCTTATGGCATTGAAAAAGTACTGTTTAATTACAGTCCCAGTTGTCAGCGGCTTCTATTCTACTGGGTATGCTGAGAGACTTAAGTAAGTTTCTATAAAGTAAATTCTGATGATGGTAGCTCAGGTTGCTGATTCAAGTTATTCCTTCTCTTTGGTGTCACTTTTGACGGATGGTACCTAATGCAATCAACCACAGGTTAAGGGAACATTTTCTTTGGTTGCTTTAGCGACTGGACCGGCAGTTCCCCTCCTCTTTTGATCTTCTTTTGGGCGCTCAGTCCTCCCTGCTATCCCCACCAAGACTTCATCTTAAATGAAAAGTGGAAAGAACAACAATACTACAGGACAGCCTCTTCCTAAACCTCCATTTCCCAATGGTGAAGCCAAAGCTGCCTGCCTTTGCGTACATTTTTGATAAATTTAAGAAGTCAAATCGCTGACACAGATAGATAATCCAAGTGTATAGGGTGAAGAGTTATAAATTAACACATTATTCCCTCTTAATGTGAAATACTTGAGAATGCATTTTCTCATTCCCCTGACATCTACCCAGTGAGGGCTCGCATTGTACTTTTCAAGTGGCATTGATTTGTTAAAGCGCTGAATTAGCATCTCCGGCCAGCTGCCTGATCCGCCATCGCTTTGTGGGGCTCCAATTCCTTCTCTCTCCCCTGTCATCTCTTTTTTCCATCAGTCTTCCTATCCTTTCCCCTTCTTTTTCCCTCCTGACTTGTTCTCTGCTTGTTTCCTTTTTGATCCTGCACATCTCATTCTCACTTTTTATCCTCCTTCCCATTCTGAGAGACTTAAGTTTGCTTGATTTTTTTTTTTCCTCCACCGTCTCTGCTTTTTCATCCTCCTCTCTTTTGTCCCTATCTCTCCTTTCTGAAATCTGAGATTGTCCCTCACTCAGTGTTATGGTGTCCTTAACTACTTGTGTATTTGGGTTGATATAGCCAGTCCCATCACTTCAAATGTAGTCTTCTGGAGAATAAATAAATGTGCTTCCATTGTATGTCCTCTTAGTCATAGTCAAGGTGGTGAGGAAAATCTCACTTGCTTTCCAGAAACTTAAAAGGTAACTTACAGAACTTTAAAACTCACTTCTAAATGTCATTTAACATAGAAAGTTTTCTTTGTTTCAAGGAAAATGGCAGTTACCAATCATTATGACTAATTTGATCATTTTTCGTTTACCTGCTGTGTTACTATTTCGCAAAGAATTTGATTTTTGTAACTTCATGTTTCAGTGACTTTTCAGGTTCTGTATTCTGATTCTGCTTGTTTGTGTTGGTTCTTTCTTTTACGATTTTGTACAGTGTACTTCACTATGGTATTTGTAGCATGCTGTGGTTTCCTGTTATATGATATATCATTACCATAGTTGTGAGTAATTAAGAGTGTAAAGTCAACTGGTAATTTGTTTAGAAATAAAATGAGATTGCTCATTCCTTCTTTTAGTGATGTGTCCCAAAATTCCAGAGGCCTTTGGAGGACATGCATTCAAGTTGAGATGAACAGGTTTACATATCTGTGCTTTCTTCCTTTGGATATTGGTCCTAGAAGCTTTGAAATTACTGTATTGATTAGTTTAATATAAGTAAGAGTGTCCTATTTGGATTTGACAGAAACTATCTTCTGTGAACTATAGTTTCATGGTTTTTATAGTGGTTTGTTTTCAGTTTTGGTGGGTGTTCGCTGACATCAAAATTGAATTTGAATATGTACATCTACAATAAATCATGTTAATTAAAAATTAAATATATTGCTATATTTCATATAGATTAAACTGACAGTTTGATTTCAGCATATATTTTGAAATGGAAAAATTTTAGAGGGGTTTTGGTAAGTTTTGCTCTGTGTTGAATTTATTCCTTCCAATCAAATGTATTATTTTTCCAAATTAATTGCGCTCTTCTATAGTCAGCATCGCTTGGTTTCAGTGAAGGGATTAGAATGACTTTTCAAGGCATGATAATGTCTGTTTAAAGGAAAGAAAGGGAAAAAAGCATTAACTAGAGCTTAAGATTAATTCCAGCAACTAAGGAGATAAAAATGACGCTAAAGAAGACAATTTAGTTTTTTAATATATGTATGTTAACTTGCTTTGAGATCAGCATTTTGTATTTCAGGGTAGTCCCTTAGATGAAGTAAGATGTTTTCATTTGTAACCTGAAGGGGACATGGCCTCACTTCATGGTGTTAGGGCTGGAATACTTTCTGCCTTCCGTAGGGATGAGCACTGTTTATCTGACTGTAGCTCAGGGTCAGAGTCAGAAGGAGATTTACTACAGTTTAGAACTGCCAGTGACAACAAAATAGGAGGAAAATTAAGACAAAATAACAGGACAGTGTTGCAGAGGAAAATGCCGTATATAAAAAAAATTATGAATGAGAAATAATAAAAAGTCTGGGGGTGTGCTTTAATAGGAGACAAGCTGAAAGGGATGTTTTGGGGTACAGAATTGTAGCTCTTGTTATTTCACAAAAATTAATATTGTTGTGATTGGTTATACATGGCTACATTGGCCGTGTATAAATTCATAAAGGATTATGTTGCCATCACAGCAGACTTACAAATTAAGAGCTTTGAGTTCGGAGAAGAAACTCAAGTTAGAGAGCCTTTTTTACCTCATTATGTGCCAGGTCCTAGGGTTCCATCTCAAGTATTGCAAAAAAAAGGGGGAGGGCATAAGGTTCAAATGAGGAACATCTTACATTATCTTTTTTTCTCTTTCTTGCTTTTCCTTCCCCTAGCACTGGGGACTGAACCCTGGGCCTTGCTCATGCTAAGTGTACTAGGACTAAGTTCTGTCATTAGTTTTGAAATTTCATTTTGAGACAAGGTCATGCTAAATTGCTCAGGTTGGCCTTGATCTTGTATATATTGTTGTTTAAGCATTCTGAGTAGCTAGGATTGCAGTCATGTACCACCATGCCAGTATGTCAACTTTTAATATGATTTTAATTTTTTCAGTGTTGTGGATTTGACCTAGGGTTCTGCAAGCTAGATAAAATACTATGTCACTGAGCATTGTTCTCCGTTTTTATTTGGTCTTTAAAAAAAAAATACATATATGTATAACATATATTTTTTTTTTCTTTTTGAAATGAAACTTCACTATGGAGTTCAGAATGAATTTGAACTCACTTTGTAACCCAGGCTGGCCTGAAAGTCGCAGCAATCTTCCTGCCTCTGCATCCTGAGTGTTGGGATTATAGTTGTGCACCACCATGCCTGGTCCCCAAACTCATCTAATATGGTTTAAATTTTTAATCAAATTTACATACATTTTTTCCTACTTTATTATTTATGTTACTAGGAAGATAGAAATTTGCACAAGTAATAAATCAATAAGAATTTCGGGTTTTTGTTTTGTTTTGTTGTTCTAGTACTGTTGTTTTGTAATATTTTAGCTATGTGAAATGGTTAAGTGCATGTTCCAGGATATATCACATTTGAATTTTTCTGTAAAATTCTCAGGAGAAATCTGAATTATTTTTGTTTCTGTATTTTGTAAGGCTAAATTAAATGTCACTTGAATGTGAAAAGAACTGGCACCTTTGATAAACAGTCCCCAAAGCAAACCACTTGTGAGTAATCATAACCTAATTATGAATGTGAATGTAAAATTTGTTTTTAAAAAATACGAAACAAGCAACGGAAATAAAACACAGTAAACCACATTATACAATTCTAGGAGAAAACATCTCTACATTTAAAGGTAGAATTTTCAATAGTAACAGTAATAAGAAGAAAGAACTTTGGCAGCTGTCCAAAGTGATTGTTGAGAGGGGGCAGCAAATGGCCTGCACAGTGTGTGGCTGTGCAGAAGTTCCAGGGTGACACATGCCTCACAAGCTGGTCACAATGCAAGAGGTCAGGGGTCATGTTCAAGAGCGGGGTGTTGCTGGATAAGACTGAGGAAGCAGAGGTGGCCCCTCTGTGCTCAGTGTGTGGGTCTGTGTACTCCTTTCCCGTCAAAGCTGGCCCAGTGCAGCCAAAAAAGCGGTTCCTTGGCAGGGTTTAATGGCAGGATGATGTAGTCTGTTGTGACTAGTGCATTCCTTTCAGGTTAAACTAGGGAAATGGCATTGTGTTAAAATTCCAAGTCGCATGAATGTTTTATTGCCACAGTGCATTTAGCCCTCCAGGGGAGTGTGTGTGGCTGCTGTGGGCTGGGGGTGGGGGTGACTTGCAGACTCAGGAACTATCAGAAGAACACTTCCCTTGGAAAATTTTACCCACCAGCATGAGGCTGATTTGCTGTGATGGTCACTTAGAAGGGTTTTGCTTTTCCTAAACTGTGGCTGTTTAAAGTCTTGCAGTCTGGACAATTAACAGCTGAAGAAAATATGACAAGACACACGCAAAGAGGTTGGGAGATAGAGAGGAGGAATGCGCCAGAAAGGAGCTGGGCTGCCTTCTTGTGTAAACTGCCCAAGAGAGGCTTCCCCCTCCCAGGCCTCCGTGCATGTCCCTGCTTCCCATGCTGTGTTTTGCTGCTGTCTGCCTGAAGGCCAAGACTGATCTGTTAACCTTGCACTACTGACTGGGAGGCTGCTGCAGCTCATGGTACTGTATGTTACCATTACTACTCCCTCATTCCTTTTCACTGGCTCCTTTCTCCCCCCTGAACCATTTCTCTGTAATAATGGTTTATATTAGTCAGAGGGATACAATTTTGGAATGCAGAAGGTCTAAGGAGTTTAAAACAAAACAAACTTAAATACGGTCTCCCTCCACCCCACCCCCTTCTTGGCATTTAGAAGGGCTAAACGGGACATTCTAATTCAATTGCAGCCAGAGGTTTCCAGTGTGATTTAAAATCAGAAATTCTGGAAATGAGGCTATTTAAAGACACAAGTCATCTGGGCTGTGGGTCTTATAAAGAGACTTTGTTGTGAAACCACACAAGCACTTGCAGGTTTTTTAAGGATGTTTCCAGGCTTTGTAGTTGTTTCAGATTATATCCATTTTTCAGATTGCCTCTGACCCTCATCCCACTCCAGAGGAAATTCTAGCCATCTCATTCACTGTTTCAATTGTTATAGGCTTACTGTTACTGAAGGTATACGTTCAGTTGTAATTGTGCATGTTACGTATATGATTCCAGATAGTTTCATGATTTGATCTGAGTCAAGGTAATTTATAATAGATTAAAATGTGGATGTATGGAACAGTTTTCTGATTTTACATTGTGCCTCTATGAAATATTCATGTATCTGATTTTCCCCAGTGAGCAAGAGAAATATATATATGATTTTAAGATTACTAAGAAAGAAATCATAAGGGGTTAGAATTTTAGTTTTGGATTGCTTGCTTATCTTCATGTTCAAACCTAAATGTTTTCATGTTCTTGTGAGGCTACTTTTTTCCTTAGTTATATACATGTATTATATGTAAATTGTGTATGTGTTTGTACATACTTTGATATTTGCCAAATTAAAAGGAAATTTTTGTAAAGCTGCTATAAGCTAAGATAGTTCTCTGTTGTTAAACTGACACTTTAAAAAGTTGCATAACAAAAATTTAACTCATTAATACAGTACAGAGCAGCCATGAGTTGGTGTACCCTATTTACATAATAGAATTTTAAGTATGTGATATATATATATATATATATATATATATATTTCTTTTTTTGATATATATATTTCTATAAAATCGTATTTTTGGTCAAGATAGACCTTCTTAGTTTAATCTGATTAGTGGTGTTTATATGAAGGTTTCTTTTTATACAGATATACTGTATTGACAGTGTTTATGGGAAGTCTTAAACCAACAAGAGATTAACTTTACAGCAAAATCAAGATTTGTATGTGGACATGGCATGTCAAATTTGTGGTGAACTCATTATTTTTCCTTACATTTTAGAGAATACTTAAGTAATCATTTCTTTTGTTGAATCTGGTAATGTGATGACAGGAATTTTCTTTTGGTGATTTTTGTTTTTAGCTGTACATTACAAAATGAGATTTTTCAGGAGAATTTTACTTACAGAGTTAAAAATTTATTTTTCTGTTTTTATTGCCAACCAATTTTCAAAATTCTTTTCTTCATTTAGGAAAACTGAGAAAATTAAGGAAAACAATCTAATGTATATTTAAATCATCTGAAACTATAGTTGATTGTCATGATTATGGAAGCACTTTAATTATGAAAAGGATGTTGTAGTTTGTTCATCCCTTTCCAATTTGGCTTATTAAAAGTTTCCTTTCATAAAGCAAGAGAGATAGAGTGGAATTGCTCAAATGTCACATTTCCTTCCTAAGAAAATTTCAGCTAAGTAAGAATCTATTTTCTCAATTAGTCAGATTTTCTTAAAAAGTATCAACACTGTTCTTTTAGTAATTTTCTGTTGTTGTCGTGCTAGTGTTTGGCTTTGGGTATTTTTTTTGGGGGGGGTTAGTTAAGATTTGTCCTGAGTTCAGATGCTCTTGCTACCATGCATTAGACTTATGACCACCTATAAGTCATTTCTTCCTTAACCTACTTTGCTTTTCTCTTGTCTTTTCTGTTCTATGCTCTCCCACGCTCCCAGCATGTGCTCAAAATTAAATCAAGGGTCTCAAGTGTGCTAGGCAAGCGCTGTACCATTGAGCTACATTCCTTTGCCTGTTTTCTTCAGTCTTAAAATAGGGAAATGAAAGTGAACTTGAGAGTTCCTTGGGAAGATGAAATGAGACAACACATATGAAGCTGTAGTATGTAGCAGGTACTCAGTAAAATCCCCCACCCTCCATGTGGGTGCCACCCCCCCCACCCCCATGAATGTTCTCTAGTTGTTTTTCTCTTGGGAAGTTTGAAATTTTAGAAATAACAGAGAAGCAGGGAGTAAGTTTAAATGAAGTGTTTAAATTTCATTTATAGAAAAGGAAAAGGTATTAGGTCATCATTAGCTTTTTCTTTTTTTAAGAAACTCTTGTGTTATCCATTTGTTGACATTTTTACTACTCTGCAAAATTCTTAACTTGGCCTACATGGATGTCAGAGTGAGTCTGTTATTTCTGTTATGCGAAAAGGTAGAATAGAGGCAAAATTGGGAAGGTTCTATACCTTTGTATCTTTACCTTTGTATCTCAGAGCTGATCATTTGCTTGAATTAAGGCTGCTATTGTATACTCATTAGCACTTGATAATAGAGCTTGAAACTGATTTTATAAGACCCCATCCTTTCCTTCGTTTTGTGAAAACTTATTTTTAATCATAGATTTAAGGTCATACTTAAGTGAATAATATTTACACTTGTGTAGAACTAAATAAAATAGCAAACAACATACATATATGTGGGCAATATAGTATTGTCTTATAATCTTGTATGAAATGCCTATGGGTAATGAAATACTTCAGAGGCTGTTTGTAAGGTAACAGGCTTTTATTGTTTTTTAGCAGGGATTATGTTTGTTTAAAAAAAGTGTTCTTGTATAGTACATGATATTATCATAGGTCACCTCTGATTAATGTTATTTTGCTTAGCATCCACTTTCTTAGCCAGCATAAGTTTGAACACACTGCAACATGAAATCTAAAATAAATATTTAGCTTAGAGGTTACTTTAGTCTATTAGGAGCAGTAACAGAATGAAGATTGATAACTAAGAATTTTGTAGCTACCTTGTAGTACCCACAGAATGCTAGATGTGTTATCTCTGTCATTGTATTATTTTAGCTTGGAAAACCTTTAAGGGCAGGTACCCTTACTGTCATTTTATAGATAAGGAAGTAGAGATAAAAAAGCTGTATTCAGCAGGGCTGGCCTCAAACTCCCTTGCTTTTTCCTCTGACATATTCATCTGTCTATAATTTATACTAACCTATTTAAGAAAAAATAAATAAAATTTTGTTATAGATTCTACATTTTTTCCTTTTTAGTTTTTAATAAGGAAGTTAATACATGGAACTGATAAAAATCAAAGCTACTCTAAATGGGAAGGAGGCAAGCTACAGAAGTCTATCTTTTAGGTCCTTACCTACGACCCATGTTATACCTGGTTAGAAGAAAACTGCACCCCAAGAAATAAGACTAGAAAAACCTGTCTCTTTGTTTAGGAATTGAAGGTTTAGAAGTGTTATTTTGTGGAATTCATAGGAAAAGCTAATCTGTATAATTTAAGTGAGAAACATATATCTAAAACATAGTATAGTATAAATATCATTGTAAAAAATTGATTTTTTTCATGGTACAATTTTTCACACACTATTTCTTAGGTACACAGGTTTTGTTTAATCCATACAAGTGAAGTAAATTACTGAGGGATGAATCTGAAAAAACTAAAAAGTTAGTTCTCTCTCTTAACTGGAGTCTTTGTCTATAAATACGTACAAATTCTATCTCAGTTTGAAAATATGAAAAGATTTTGGTGTTCTGTATTATAACATCTGTAAAAGGCAAATACATACCCATACATGCATATATGGGAAAAATTAAGGACAGGGAAAATAGGTTGATTTAACTGAGGAAATAGAGTTTTAAATAAATTCCTTGTGAAATAAATTAATTGACATGATTTTATAATGTCTTTATAAACCAAGAATTTCAAATTTTCATATCTGCTAAATTTATATTGGAGTTATATATAGTACTTGGCTGCAAAATTTGTATTAGGATTGTGTATAGTACTTGATTAGAAATGCTGTACAGCTTATCTGTCATGAATACAGGAAGAGTCCAGACTTAACAGTAAGCTGTTAGATGCATTTGAACTGATTTCTTTATCTGATTTTGGGAAATTTATGTAACACCTTGAAACTCAGTTGCCTCATTCATAAAATAGGGCTTAGAAATGATGCATGAAAAAGCTGGCACAGGGCTGGTGAGCTCTTGTTATATTACCACCTACTTTTGTAGTTTGCAAGGTTTATTTGGTATTCTTTCAGTATGTGTTTATGTACCATGGCACAGGGCTCTTAATACTTACATCATGCACATACTTGACTCTTTAATTACTAGTTAAATACTACTTGTGCTAGCCTTTTAGAAGCTTACTTTTGCTGAAGAAAGTGAGGATAGAGAGAAATTTCTCTTTTCTTACTCTTCACTGAGAATCAGTCACCGAGCAGCATAATTCTAAAATCTTATGTGGCTTTTGGTTACTTGATGAACCTTTTTATGGTAACCCAGAAGCAAGTAACTGATTGAGTTAATACATTCCTATCAAGCGACTATTCCGTTAACCTTTCCCCTTCTAACTAACCCAAGCATGCCTTTGTGAAAGACTTAAAAAAATTCATCCTTTAGGTTGCTATACTGTCAGAGTAAGGATGACATTTCATAGATGTTTAGGTTTTTGGTTTAATCCTTAGAACCCTTTGGTCTATAAAACAAAAAGAGGAAACCAAAACAGTAAAAATCAAACTAAAGAATTTCTACCCTAATTAAAAAGAAGATTTAAAAATACTCAGCTTCTGAAAAATTTAGAGCTTTTTAAAATGTAAGACATGAACTTTGTACAGATTTTAATTTTTAATACTTTTAAACCTTTTTTTCACAATTTTTGCAGGAAAAGTACACATTGTGCCGATCTGATTAATAAAAGTAGGAAGAAGAAAGAAAACTCTTATGTACCACAGTGG